TTTCATGGCTGAGGATTCTCAAATGACTGAAATGGCCCTCTAAAAGCTGAAAAGAGGGCTGGATTTGTGGCTCAGTGGTAGAGTACTGGCCTATCATCTCTGAAGCACTGGGTTTGACTCTCAGCACCACATAAAAATAAATAAATAAAGGTCCACTGGCAACTAAAACAATATTAAAAAAAATCAAAAAGGGAGCCTACACCTATCTTCAGTATCTTCAACCTATTTCAATCTTGAGCTTAGACTTTGGACTTTCAGAACCCTGAGAAAATACATCCCTGTTGTTTCAACCACCCAGACTGTGGCAGCCCTAGCCCATAATAAAATGCCCAATAATTCTGGACAGAGAAAGATGACACTATGTTCCTCAATCATATCTAAATGTTTTCTCAACAAGAGGGCTCGGTCACATTTGCAAAATATAGGAAACAACATATATAGCTTTTTAGATAATGCCAGATAAATAAAAGTAGCTAACTTTATTCAGAGGAAGGATTTGAAGCTGAAATTAGTTGAAAAATTGCTTCTTTATTCAGATTCAACCTGTTTCAGATGCTTTGCTCTGTAAACAAGCAGAATACACTGCAGTGTGGCAAAGAATAAAATCAAGATTGTCATTGTCAAACTACTATTTCAAGAGAAGAAATATTTCATTGTTCATGTAGCTGAGACATAAAGTACTAGAGAACATTTAAAACTTTCACAGGAAAAATTCAATGTAAACCAAATCAACTGTCTATGGCATGGTACCTATCAAAGAGGAAAGACAAAAGTGGATTTCAATGGGAAGTTTGTACTCTCAAATCAGCCCCCTGGAAATTATTAGAAGTCTTATAATTAAAAATGGTTACTTTAAGAGGATATGGTTGGGTCTGCCACCTGACTTACAAAGCCCGTTTTTTTGTGTGTGGCCTCCTTGAAGAGGAAAGAGGGAAAAAATTAAGGAAATTACAAAAACTTTCAAAATATTTAAAGCATTTTTTAAAAAAGGGTAAAGAGCGGGGCATGGTTGCGCATGCCTGTAATCCCAGTGGCTTGGGTGGCTGAGGCAGGAGGATTACAAATTCAAAAGCAGACTCAACAACTTAGGGAGGCACTTAGCAACTCAGTGAGACCCTGTCTCTAAATAAAATCTGAGAAAAGGGCTGAGAATGTGGCTCAGTGGTTGAGTGCTCCTGAGTTCAATCCTCAGTACAAAAAAAAAAAAGGCAAAGAAAGACAGTATTATATCTTAATGTTCGATGGGATATTTTGGCATCATGTGTTGGCTTGCATTCTATATAAATTGTAGATATATCAAAGAGGAAAGACAAAAGTGGATTTCTCATATGTCCTAGTCTTTTCTTGTAAGGACACCAGTAGTATTGGATTGGGCCCTATATGCCCTTATTTTACCTTAATTTTCTCTTTAAAGGCCTTATCTGCAAATAGTCACATCATGAGATAGTAGGGTTCAAGATTTCAGTATATGATGTTGTGGATTGGTGGGAGATGTAATTCAGTCCATAAAAGGCATGGCGTGCATTTTTAGGGTGATTTGTTTGCTCTTTTAGTTTATCTCTGCTCATGCTCCAAGTCGACAGAATAAAATTGTAGAGGACAGATATAAGATATAAAATGTCTACAAGTCCATCAATATTCACTTTAGTAATCTTTTTTAGCTCCCAGTGAAGCTCCCTCCTCTGAGAGATATCAAGCAACCTTGACAGCTGTACCTTTTTAAAGTATATGGTGCTATGCCCTCTATAGAGCAATATATAATGCAAGAAGAAAGTGGTGCTTAAATTCCTAGTCATGCTCTTTTTTTCCTCGGAAACTACCATTGACTTTCTTTTTTTTTTAATTTTTTATTGTTGGTTGTTCAAAACATTACATAGTTCTTGATATATCATATTTCATACTTTGATTCAAGTGGGTTATGAACTCCCATTTTTACCCCGTATACAGATTGCAGAATCACATCAGTTACACATCCATTGATTTACATATTGCCATACTAGTGTCTGTTGTGTTCTGCTGCCTTTCCTATCCTCTACCATTGACTTTCTATAGCTATCAAAGATCTATTTTTTAGTTCTCCTTGGTAAGAAAAATTGTTCCTAATAGCTGTAGTCAACTTTTTTCTTTCACATACCTATAAAAAATATATATTATTACTTATATAGAGAGAGTTCACTCAAAAATAAGTAAGTAAAATGTACTAAAAACTCTTCATGAAGAGCACTTTTTAAGACAGGCTTATATGGACACAACTTTTAGGTATATTTTTGTGATCTCATAAAAATCACAAAGGATTTGAATTTGGAGCTTCACATATCATCAGTTCTGTTTATGTGCTTTAACCCAAAAGCCATGACCAAAGTGAATTTTAGATAGCCTAAAATTAGAGCACCAGGAGAATCCAGGACAGATCTTGAGACTTAGTAAAGATGATTAGATGTCTTGATTCAACCAGACTTCTTCCCAGTATTGGACTCTGGTATGTAATGGTTTTTGGTGTTCTCATATGAAAAATTGCATCACACTGAGATAAATCCTACAAAATAACCAGGATGGTTTATGATGTTTGCTGGGGGTTTCCATTGCTTGAGTCCCTAATATATTTTGTCTTTTGGACATGATTCACCTTCCCCACCATAGTGAATACATATGTTTCCTTGTGCTTTCCTAATGTTTTTCAGATAGATTTTCCCATTTGATAACAAACTACTATATTTCTCTACTTATTTGTTGCCAGTGGTGGTTTCTTAAGATAAAATCATACCTTATTACCCCTTTAGCAATCTCAAACCTATGCACCCAATGTCATTTCCTGCTGGACTTTTCAGATAAATTTTTGATAGCGATAGTTGTATATGTGCGATTGTGTGTATGTGTGTGCATGTATGTTTAGGTTTCCACTTAAAGTTCAGTGCCAAAGCTACAGTACTTATACATTTTCTAAATGTGTTTTAAGCAATAAGTTGTACAACATTTTTAGAACATGTGTTAAGCTATTTCTCTAAGAATGAAGCTCTTAACAAAACATAAGCACTCTGCATGAGATCTTAGCAGCAAAGTGCTTAAAAGATAAAGTAAGAATTGGTACCATGGGAAGAACACCAGCTGTAGAGCGCACAGGTCCATTATGAGAAGTATGGTAGTGGGTAGGGAGAAAATGATTTAATCAGGAGTAAAACCAATTTTATTATAAGGGCACGCAGGGGGTGTGGCACCATAGTGAGAGGGACATTTCAAAATATCTGACAGATTTCAACAATGTGAAAACCCCGTTCTTTAAAGTGACAGTAAACCCCATCAGGTCTCCCTTTTTGATGCTATTGTTAACAGTTGACTGTTTAAAGCTGGCCTGCTAAGATGCTGTCGGCCTATTTCAATAGTGTGTAGCCAAATAAAAGACTAATTGTTGAACTACAATCAATCAAAAATGATTGCAGGGCAGAAAGAAGGTCTCCTCTGCTGATTTTCTTGTGGATCATATTATTGTGTTATGATCGAGGTAGGAATGAAGATTGAAAAGGAAGAAGAAAATAGTCCATCTGACATAAACAGTTCTACCTAATTTCTCTTTTTTGCCCCAAATATATTATTATACAGGAACATCACTTACTAGTCCTAAAACTAATAGAAAAAAAAAATTAGAAAAAAAAATAAAAGATCGAGAGAGATTTGGGCTAATATTTTTAAAAGGGTATGGACATTATTAGCAAAACAGCTCATGCAGAGAATCCCTACAGTGACAATTCTCGGCTTTCCTTACATTTTTTAGTGAGAAATACTCCTCAGCATTCATGAAACTGACACGGAGGAGGCATGTGACTGTGAGCCCAAGACATCAGTAAAGAAACAAAATTCTAGTTGATCATATACCTGTTAAGTTCTTGCAGGATTCTCAGCTTTTCAGTTAACCCCCAGATTGTATAAAACAATTAATTTTTGTTTTCTTTAAGCCCAGTATCTAAAACATTTTCCATGTTGCACATTCAGAAAGGCAAATCCTAGGGATCAACAGCAATACCTTTGTCTTGCTTCCTTTTAATTGTATGTAAAGATGTCACTCTCCGACACAAATGCGTCCATTTCTTCAAGAGAATGCTTCCAGACTTTCAGATTGCTGGGGGAAAGGAAGATAACAACTGCCTGGCACATTTTATTTCAACTAAAACCTTCATTCTGGCAGTTACTTTCTTTAGTATTTCAGCGTCTCAACTCACACCTCCCAAGCAAAGACTTCTCTTGTTTCTAAAGAGTTGGTAAGCACTTGTGGTTTGTCTTCAGTGTGTTATCATTTTTGACAGCTTTGCATAGCCTATGTAGGCCAACAGGGGTCTGTCTAATATTGTTGCTGGGCACATTCTCCTCACTGAGATGAAAACTGAAAAAAAAAAGATATTTTTGAAGCAGTAAGAAGGAATTAATATCCTTTCTCACTCAGCATTCTATTCCTTGCTGACTTTATATTCAGGCAAAAAAAGGAAAAAAAAAAGTGTTACCCATTATTCCCTTGTACATAGCAAGGCTAACACATGTAAAGCAATAACTCATTTTCTATTGCCATGTTTAGCATATGTCTCCTGTTGGCTCAGCAAGGCCTTTAGGCCGGTCCCTTGAGCCGGCCATCATTGGCAACTCTTAGCCCCTCAGCCTCAAAACCAAATAGCTTTGAATCATGTTGAGCTGTGATGCTAATTTTCATACTGATGCATTATGGGAATAAATGTATCTGACATACTGTGTCAATGGCACTGTCTCTTTGTGTGTCTTGTTTTTTGTTAGCTGCATTCCTACAGATGGTATTCCATTGAAAATGTTCCCTTCCTACGGAAATAGGGGAGGGAAAAAAAAAAAAAAGAAAGAAAACCACGCACAGTACCAAACCTCTAGGTGCAGAAGGCTGTTAACGTTTGCTGATGATAGTAGGCAAACATTAACATAATAATTAGTGTCTTGTAATTGTTTCATTAAAACCAGTTGTTCCATTTCTCCTCGTGTTTTCCCAGAAGAGAAGCTGAATTTGGACGACAGCCAGTGGGAGGACATCCACGTTGTCACCGGAGCACTGAAGATGTTTTTCCGGGAGCTGCCTGAGCCGCTCTTCCCCTACAGTTTCTTTGAGCCATTTGTGGAGGCGATCAGTAAGTACCTCTCAGAAAGAAGCAGTCGGCAGAATAGCCTGTCATCATGGAATTATTAAGTAAATAATAAGAATAATGATCATAAAAATGAAGGAGAATAGATAATGTTCCCAATGCTCCATGTCTCTCATTTTAAATTCTGTGTTTTTGACAGCTTGTCTTATTTCTGACCCAGTAATATTATTTGAGTTTTTCACAAAAGATATCATTCAGAAAAAAAGATAGCATCATATTTAGAGTAACCAAATTTAACTATATTTACTCTAATGAAAGTAACATCTCATGGAATCTGTTGTAAAGAGGTCACCATTTGCACGGGCTCCTGCCTTTATACTTTCAGAATTCCAATGAGTTTGCAGACAAAGGGGTCTTATAAAAGAACATAACTAATTAAATATTACATCCTTAAATATGTGTTAAATCATCAAGTGAGACACCATGTTCCCTTGGTTCAGTCTAGTAAATAGCTGCAGTTTGCTTATGAGCACTGTGAAAACCAAATTAAGTGGTGGTGAGTTTCTTCTGTTTAATGGGTGACTTAGGGGAGAGTGAATTAGATCACTTACTAACCAATAGCAATTGTACACTCTGTAAAGCCTCCCTTGCTATTATTTTCTGATTTATAAAATAGCCACACAAATAAGAATAAACAAATAAGTGAATGAATGAATGAAGATCTTTTCCATATGCAAGAAAACATCTGCTATAGATCCTTGAAAAGCAAATACTAGTACATCTCTAAAGTTAATATCTTAGGGTACATTTACTATAATTGTGACAGCTTGGAAAAAGTTTCCTGGCAAGCTAGCTGATATAAGGAGGAAAGAGGAAGAAAGAAGAAAGAAAGGTAAAATTAAAAAGCTTGCAAGCCTGGCAGGAGCTTAATTAAAGTCCCAACAAGAAAAATCTTCAAGAAAAAATGTTCTACTTAGGAGGTCTAATCTTGGATGACTGTGTGTGCAGGGTTCCCAGGAGTGAGAGTAGGGATTTAGGGGCCCATATTGGAGAACAGTTCCTCAACATGTCCTTTCATTTTGATTTTCACTCGCAAAAGTCTTCACACTTGTTTAAAGCTCTGGTAAAGTGAATCAAGAGGACTAAAGAAGAGGGATTTCTCCCATGGTCTTTCTTTTGTTGCCTGCTCACAATTACAGCTTTGGTTGTTGCTGTCACCATTGTTTAATGTAATAACAGTCTTCTCATAATGGGTCTGGCAAGGGGGGGAGCTCTTATCACTAATTATGACTTTTAATTTCATAAATAAATATACTCCACTTCTCAAGGTGAGTGAAGTTTTATAGTTCTCAGGTTCTCTTAACGTCATAAAAAGAGGAGGAATAAAGAAAAGTAGGCAAGCATGCATTTCATAACAACTTATTTGGATATTCTGTCTTGACATACTCAAGCCTGGAGGATCATTCACACCGAGGAAAGCATTTTGGTGGGAAATTAGAGTGATTTGCATTCAGGCACCTACTCTGTGTTTACTTAATGATATAATGTCATCTTAAACTTCATACTTTCAAGTGAGAATTATCTCCTTTGGAAACATACTTGCTATGTAAGCTGATTCGTGGGCTTTGATGTAGGATACCCATCACTTAAATTTCCTCTAGTTCAACTGATTTCAAAAATAGTAGTCAAGCCATTCCCTTAGCTTAAGAGAAAGGAAATCAGGCCCTCAGAACTCAGGTGAGGTTGTGACTTTTGAATTGCCATAAAGAGTAGGATGATTTCTGAGATATCCTAGACTTAAATCCAATTTGGACAGAATTTCAGAGATGCAAACATGGTCAGAACTGAATACAGCAGAGGAGAGGCAGACTGCATGCTTGGGATCCAGGGCTTTAGCAAGTGCTTCTGCTGACTTACAGAATGGGTTATGGTGAGGATGAATGAGATAGTGCTTAGGAAACTCCTTTTAAAATGTAAGATGATGTGCAGGTGCTAATAGTGTTTGTCCAGGGGAACTGTGTTTGGAAAAGTAACCCAAAAGAGAAGAGACAGGAAAATTTTCCTTTCATTGTTCAAGGCAAGGAGAAATGGGGATATTGTTGGAATATTTGTGTTCTATCAAAATTCACATTTGGAAATTCTAATCTTCAGGGTGATGGCATTGGAAGTGGGACTTTTGAAAGGTGATTAGGTCATGAGGGTGGAACACTGGTGATGGGATTATTGTCCTTATGAAGATATCCAAGAGTGATCTACAACATCTTCCACCATGTGAGAACACTGCTAAAAGTTGCCATCTATGAACCAGAGTGGGCCCTCACCAGACCCTGAATCTGTTGGTGCCTTGATGGTAGAATTATCAGCCACTAGAATTGTGAGAAATAAATTTCTACTGTTTATAATCTGTGCAGTTTATGGTATTTTTTAATAGCAAGACAAAAAGACTAAAACTCAGCAACCTTTCCTAAACTAACTCAGAAGAGCATAATATCCTGATTTCTTAATATGTAAAATGGATGGGTGAGCCAACAGGGTAATGCGGGCAATATGTTAGAATGTTGGCCAGAGACATATACTAACCCATTTATTTTTGGCATAATCTTGAAGCTGGTTCTAGTGTTCTAAACTCAGGTTCATTCTAGATTGTAATTCATATTTAAATATCCTGAAGCAATGGAAGAATAGCACCTAGATCCTTAGCAATGGCTAAAAATCACACCAGAGGAGGCACTTTTGCTCCCTTGAGCACTAGTTAAGCTAAAAAATCTTTCAAATTATAAAAACATTTGTATCCAGACCCAGAGGAGTCCAGGAATTTATCTCAGACCACATTTTCTTATGGAGTCAATATAATGAGAACATCACCAATTCAATCATTAGTTCTTGGCTTTATTATGATGAAGGGTAAGTTTGTTTAGTAAATTCACAGGATATGACAATGTATGCTAAGTCTGGGTCTCTTTCCTGGTCCTTGTTTTCTGTATGCTGTACCAGAGGGTTGAACTTCACTGGCTGAATTTAACAGGTGCACTTAGGGATTGGCTTCCAGCTATGAAAGCCAATGGAAGCCACTGGCAGGATATAATAGTTGGAGGGAGAAGCAAAGTCTGGCTGGTTTATTAGTTCTTCCCTCACGCCTGTATTCATCCACCCGTCTGTGACAGGTTGCTCTTCTACCTGAGGTTCCACCTCCTCCATGACTCTTGCTTTGCCTGGACAGGCCTACTCTGGTTTCAGGTTTGCTGTAATGATACAGACCCTCCTTTCCTTTCTAGACTAAAGAAGGCAGTGGCTTCCTACTGTGGCTAATTTCTTAGTTTCCTTATTTTTATCTCAGTTTCTTCATCACTTGAGTAACTAGTTCTCTGCATCAAATTAAGATCCCGTTGGTGTAAATACTTAAATGGTTTCTGTTGTTTGGTTAGACATGAGCAAAGTCACCATGCCTGTCAATGTCATGGTTAATGATTTCATAATGTTATTTCCCCTTTCTATTCCACTACCCCCAAATCAAGTTTATGATGGCATCACAGTTTCAATTTGCCCCTAATTGAGAGATGTATTACCCTTTCATGGGCAAAGTCAAAAGATGAATAGAGGAGTTTTATGTCCAACTGGAATACTTTGCCTCTGAGGAAGAAATGTTATTTCTACAACAAGCAATTAATGACCACTTCTGCTATTTGAATTACTTTTAATTCCCATTACATGTTTGAAAATCATTATTTAGTATTCCAAGAAGAGTGAACAGAAGGCATTTACTTTTTAAAACAGTTTCTTTTTGGACCAAAAACAAACATTAATATCATAAGAACCTGTAATTGCCATAGTGATCCCTTGTCTGATAATACTCATTGGGGTAACAAAAACACTAGATTCTGTTTTTTATATTTCAGAATCCAAGTACTGAAGCTATTGATCTGTAATTCTATAGTTGAGGTCAATGCTACTAGGTCACCTGCAGGTTATTTTGTGGGAATTTAACCCACTGACTACAAGGACTCAATTCCCTGGAAATGACTTTTGCTGAAAGCATTATTAGTACAGTGAATGTAACCTTGGTAGAAAAACACAGTTATAGAGTTTTATGATAGGTGGTGCAGTCTTGTGGCTACAGGCCTGCAGGGGGTCTGGACATTTCCAGTAGATCTAAATCCTAGAAAATTTACTGTTTATTTCTATTCCCATCTTTTTCAATCTGATAAAGCTACAGATCAAAAGAAAAGAGACAACAAGCAGTGTCTTTTTTTGTTTTGTTTTGTTTTAATGTCTGTATTTTCCCAAAGTTTCTGGGAAAGAAAAGGAGAGGAGAAAACACTCATTGACATTTCTGTTCGTTGTCTCATGGAATCTTCAAAATAACAAAGCATGAGTTACTGAAGAAGTAGAAAGATCATGAGGAAAATAACTTCTAGCTCTAACAGTTACTATAAGACTTAAATAAGAAAGCATTTTCTTGCCATATCCTCCTACATTAAGTGCTTTCTGATTGATTTTTAGAGAAATCAGTTTTTTAGAAGAGCCCCAAGTTTACATAGCTCAAAATATTAGATTTAGCACTTAACTCCACACTAAAACACAAATAACTCTCCATCTTTTTAAGTTGCCTTGATGAATAACTACCAACCTGTTGCCAAATATCTGTTACATTGTCCTTTATTAGACTTATATGTCCTAAATCATCAATATATAAGATAACGATCAATTATTTCTACTTTTTAAAACTGAAGTTAGAATTAAATTAAAGCTCAGAAATTTTAGTATTGTAGTTTTAGTTTAGAAATAAGATAGAACTTTCCAAGAGTAAGGAAAGTTTCAGTATGTTTTATTAGATATTAAAATTATTCAATTTTTTAAATGTTACCTTCTCTGAGAACATTCTTAACACTTTTTTTCTAATCAATTTTAAAAATTCATTATGATATCACAGTGTTATTTTCCTGTCATATGAGCACCTATTATAGGTTTAATTTTATTAGTGTCATTTTATTACAACTTTTTACTAGTATCTAATTATAATCTTCAAAGAAAACAAATCTTACAGA